ATTTTTTTCCCAAAAAATGTATTGCTGGTAATAATATACTGCTGGTAAAAAATTTTTACTCAAAAATTAATTGCTGGTAATAATTTTTTACAAAAATGTATTGCTGTACTAAAACCTATTTTTATACTTTCATAGTGTTTTGACCCCAGTTTGGAGATTAACTTTTTGCCCATAGCTGGGACCCTAACAGGTGCTACCACCCCAGGTCAGGGTGAACCTGGGAACACCATCAATTAAGAGGTGGTTCCATGCTCCTCAAAACCTCCCAATCAGAGGTCTTGTTGTTGGATGTAGTTTATTGTCTTACCCAGGGTGGCTTAAGATAGAGAGTTACTATTAAAATGGTTATGCTAATTGGTGTGTGTCATATGCACAATAGAAGTGGTAGTTGGAAGTCAAGATTATGAGGATAGATTTATAATTTTCAATAATGAAACACTTTGTTCTTAAATGGTTACAGCCTAAATTAAGGAGTGATAGAAAATTTCCTGAATATTTAACATAATTGGTGGTTGGAATAAAGATGTCCTAAGTAGATTTTTCTCCCAAAAAGAATAAATGTCCCAATTCATCTATTTGAAACTCAAATGTATATGTTTACAGGGTGCACAGATACTACACTGATTCAAGACAAAATTGCCAGTATCTTGGATCTCAAACAGAGTACACAGACAGCCTCATTTTAGTTTTAAAAAAGAATACCAGTTCAAATAAATATAAATCATTTTTGACAGGAACTATACAACAACAAGTTATAGTAACACTTGTATTATTATCATCATTATTATTATTAGTAGTCATAATAATAATAAAGAGGTAAGAGGGCATTTTAAAATGTTCTTGACCTGTTCCCCTTCCCAGAAACTGAGAAATGACAAGATATGAAAATTTTTAAGAGCATCTTGGTCAATGTGAAAACTTTCCAGCATCTCCTCATGAAATATATACAAATAAGATTAGAGGAATAGCAGTTAGCAGTTTTTCTTTTCAGCTGATCTTAGTTAAATTATATATTTGCATCTATTAAATGTATGGAACAAATTAATTATTAATGATGAAACAATTATCTGATTTTGAAAAAAGATTTCTTTTGTTGATTATTATTTATTTTTTAAAAAAAATTTTTTGTATTTGTTCTGTTTCATATTATTGAATATTTCCCTTATATTAATCAACTGAAAATCAAACCAGGTTTGTTACCATATCATTTATTATTCAATGGATTAATGAAGATTACACTAAAAAAAAAAGAAGCTGGATGGGGAAAATCTGATAGTATTGTAAGAACTTTGTTTATTTTGACAACATTCTGCTGTCTCATCTAATTTTATAATTTTTTTTTTGAGCAGATTTATCTTAAAAGTTCAAATTCATCACATAGTAAGAAAATAAGAATGAACATATAAGAATATGTATTGTTTTCCTATAAAATATAAATCTTTGGAAAAGTTATGAAGTGATATATGGTGGTAGACTCTCTCATAGTATTCAACATATGAGGATCAAGCAGCTCAGTCCCTAGGAACCGACAACCAGACACCAGCACATATGATTTGATTATTGTGGTGAAGGCTTTGTGCAGAACCAACCACACTTTTTGAAGAGCCAAATACAGAGAGCTGGTGCACTACGTGCCACATTGTCCTTAAACGACTCTCCACATGTTTTTGAATTCAGAGTTGTCCTTCTCCTAGACCAGTTGGAATCCAAGGCTAGAGAACACAGTCAGTCCTGCTATTTACCCATAGCTGTAGGGAGAAGAGGAATAATACCTTTTCCAAGGGTATGAGTGCATAAGTGAATATAATGAATTTGATTGTAATTCGAACTTGGCTCTCTGATTGAGCTGGTATCCACTATTCCACCGTGCCCCCTTCTTATATATATATATATATATATATATATATATATATATATATATGAAACACAATCATAATTGGTAAAGTCCAACAATGATAAATATGGCAATAAAAATTATTCAGTACAATACAGAGTCTATAAAATGTAAGACAAATGAAGAAGAAATGAAAAAAGGCCAGGTTCAATCTTCATCTTAAGTTAATCATAGTTTATGCCTTAAATATGGAATGGAGAAGTTGCTTTTTATTTCCTTGACCTTCATGGCAGTGTCATCCAGGTTCTATTTTATATTTGTATATCTATCTGTCATATATATTTATATATATATCACACATTGAGTGCTGGTGTTAATAAAATTGTGCTCGATATAATATAGCAGAGCTAGTAAGTATATATTAATAATATATATTGATGAATATACATATTATTCCTCTTGATCATTTCACATTAATGTGTGTGTACTCCAAGACTCTATCCTTAATCCTACATTGTTTATCTTTATCAATGACCTTCCTGATTTCTTCAGTTCTTAAATAGAAATTTATGCTGATTATACAACTATATACCCTTGTCATAATAGTAAGTTTGATGATTGGTCTGACAAAGTAAAACTAGCAACTGCTCTCGAAAATGACTTCCAATTAGATCTTAACTGGCGCATGATATGGCTTGTAAATTATAATGTGTCTAAAATAAAACTGCTATCTTTTAATTATCATAGAAAACCATTTTCTCTTCCATCAGCATGGCTGATGCTAACCTCCCTGAGAGTAATTCATTGCACTTTCTTGGCCTCACTGACACAAAGTGAAAAGGTTATATTGAATCATTTGCTAGGTCTACTGTTAGGAAAATGTGGTTCACTATGTTGAGCCAGATAATTTTTCTTGCCAGAATTCATCTTGCACTTTTAGAAATAGAGCTCAATGTAACTGTAAGTTTCATTCTAATAGTTTCTTTTCTCATACTTCTCGCCTGTGGACCTCTCTTTTAGTTTCTTGCTTCTCTACCTCTCACGACCTTCAAAAATTTAAATGCAATGCCAATCAACATCTGTCTTTCTGAACACTGTTCTTTTATTGTCTTTTTTCTTCACTAAAGTTTTATCATTCTCTTTCACCCTCAGTAATCCTTGGTGTCGTTGTGGTATTATTGCCTTGCTTGGGGTGAAATGATTTAAAAAAAAAACATTACAAAATTATGTTCAGTTAACTCAGAAATAATTTGAATTTTTTTACAAATTATGAACTTTGAGATTTTGTGATAATCTTCTTTGTAATTGGTTTTTGTGACGTAATAAAAGCTATGCAAAACTGTGAAAAGCTACTGAAATAGTTTTTATAATAATAACAATAGTAATTAGTATTAGCAAGTTTCTCCATTTCACTGAAGCAGACGTTAAACATATGAGTGTTATCATTTCCTCTATCTTCTCTCTTCCTTTCTTTCTATCACTGAAACCAAACAGCTTCTCTGATATGTCTTTTTTGTCTTTCCTCATGATCAAAACAAAATAGCTCATTATTTATGAAGTATTAGCCAAATGTAACATATAAAGAATAAGCAGAATTATATGATGATGTTTATATATAATATTCCTTTTGAACATAAGTGTAAAATTGACATCAGATGTTTTTCAGTTGTAGTTCAATGGTGCAGTGTAAGGACGCACTGTAAAAACATTTTAAGTTGAATATTGACCAACGAAATAGTAATAAGTACTGCAGAAAAACTTGCCCTGATGTATTTTTCAACATTACTGGTATTATTACTGGTGTGGGTATAATAATAGATTTAAAAGAAGTATAAAGTTATTGTCTGGCCATTTGTGGTAGATAAAAGGTTTGCAAAAAGACATTATGCTTTACTATAGCCAGGAAGGACAATAAAAAGTGAGATAAAAGAAAAGAAGTTTTTTGGTATCGTTAAAAGTGATTTTGATGAAATATATGAATATAAAATAGCACCTTTATTGGTCAAATATTGCCAAGAATAAGTTACATTTTATATTGAAAAGATTTACAGTAAGCCAGCAAAATTATTAATCTTTCAGATATCCGTGACAAAGTTTGAAGAATAAATTAAACTAGTAATCCATTTTTTATTAGCCTTTTATAGAAATTTTTCCATATGAAAAAATTTAATAGGGTTATTAGGGGCATAAGAAAAGAAGGACTCCAACTTGGTAGAAAATTGAACTGAAAGAATTTGTTTATTTACAATAGTTTAAATTTGAGTGGCTTATAAAAAATTAAGTGGAGTAAAGAGAAAATTTTTATTAAAAAACGGTACTTACAGTTGATAAAATCAAGAATGTTCTGGTTAAAGTGATACCGTGAAGGCTCTCTTCTGTTTGTGAAATCTTCACCTATCAGTAATTTAGGTCAAATATGGCTGTCATGAAGAATATTAATAGGTAGGGAGACAGAATGAAGAATTTTGGTAGCAATTATGTAATGAAGGATTAGTCTATGTATCTTTGAAATTGACTTCAGAACAAATTGTTAGTTTTTATTTTCGGTCATGTTTTCCACAGTTTTGGTTGGCCTCTTGCTGTTTCTGTTGTTCTCAGCTGCAAATATTAATTAATGAGGTTGTACTCTTGTCTTTGTCATTATCCATCCAAACCATGATGTGAAAGAACAGTGATTTTCACTAGTCAACAGTTTTGTTTATATTTACATCACCAGGATCACTCAATTGCCATTTCAATTACTGCTAGTTTGAATCTCTTGCTTCTGATTAGTGGAAAATAATCTAAAGAATTTCCCTTCTGAATCCATTTTTTCTAGAACATTCAAATTTTATTACCCAAGCTAGATATAGCATTGCCAAAAATAGGCTCCAAATTCAAGTTATATTGAGAGAATTGATTGTTTTTTTTATGGCTTATCAACCTTTTGTAGGTTATGTAAAACAGGAAAATATTTTTAGATTGTAAAATTCTTTTTTTGTTATCCATGATTTACTGATACAAGTCCTACTAATTAACCCATAGCTGGGGGCAGAAGAGAGGGATTCATATTTTTCCTAATGGTATTTACACATAAGTAAATGTAACAAACTTGAATAGAATTGTAGCTCAGCTCTCTGATTTCCAATTCTGAGTCATTGTCCATTACATTACTTGTACATCCAAGCTTACAGCACCTGGTATTCCCAAATGGTCACCAATATAGGTACTAACCAGGCTTAATGATGCTTAACCTTGGTGATTGTATGAGAACTGGTGTTTAATTGATATATGGTTGTAAACCATATCAAGAGATGTTCATCCAAACACTTCATTGGTTATTAAAGTCTTCACTTTTAGGTTAGATTAATGGCATAGAATTATAATTTATTTACACACACAGGAAAAAATATTGTTTCAGAATATTTCTAAAGCTAGCTGTGTAAGGAAAGATAAACTACAGAAGGTGCTAATTAATTTATTGCCTAATAAATGAAAATGAGTAAATATTGTTGATGTTGAATTTTTATATATTTATTTCATTACCCTATTGATACTTCAGTGGCCCAAGAGCCACTCAAACAGAAGGTTACTGAATGGAGATATAAGAATTATAAATGAGGATATGTAGGATAGATAATGGTTGACCTTGTACATGAAGAAGCTAAGGAGTTGCCCTCACAAAGCAGTCTTAAATGTAAAGGTTGTAAATGATGGTACCAGAGGCTGCAGATGAAAGGATTTCAGAAATACTTGTAAATTATTAAACTAAAAATCAAATTCATTATAAACATCAAAATTAGAGTTAGAATGAACCTAAACATGAAAAAAATAAAATAAATTATTCAAAAACTATAAAACACATTTTGTAGATAATTACAGACAAGGATATATTTTAAGGGTTACTGAAAAGTTCTTGTCTCCACCACCTTCCCAAGATCTAACTGTTGTAACCTAGGGAAGGTTACTGAATAGAATAATCACATGAAGGTTGGTAATAAATGATAATACTTAGGATAAGAACAACACATATAAGATTTGCCAGTAGTGTGTAGAAGTAATAGTCAACTGCTACAAGTAAGTGAATTCCACAATGAATTTCCAACTGCAGACTAGCATACAGTATTTACTACTGTATTTATATGAATGTGGACATACCGATTACCATCCGTAGGTATGCTACAACACTTACCTAACATCAGGATTTGTTTTGGATTCCTTTCTTTGGTTGGGTTGAGAACTTTTCAACTCTCCCTCCATAAAAGATTTTTCAAATAACAAATGGACTGAAGGCTCAACTTAATTTTCACCTACAATTACAGTTTAAGATCAATGATAAAGATAAACATGCAATGTGACCCAACAGAAGAATAAATGAGCTTTGTCATTATGAAGTGTATTGGATTACAAAAACCTGTTAGAACATGTACAGTCTGGGCTGATGCGTGTCTTGCCCCCACACACACGCACACACCGAATCTGTGATATGGGTGGGGGCACTACTATTTTCATAAGGTAGTATTCATATAAAATACAAATTTTATTGTAACCTAATTATGTGTAATAATGTATCATGCAATACAGGTGAACAATTCAACTAGAAAATTAAAAATAAATACAATGTATAAAAATACAAATTAGCGACATGTCATGACAGATCACTCCATCTTAAATAAATCAACAATGTTTTGCAGCAATTTTTAACATCAACTTCAGATTTTTGTTAAAAAGTTGAATAATTTTAACACATTCAATATTAAGAATAAAAATACAGTGTAACCCGGATATAAGAGAAACCCGGATATAAGAGAGATTTTCTCAGGTCCCAAATTAGAGCCCATACTTACCTAAACAAAATAGACCAAACCCGGATATAAGAGACTTCTTCTCCGGTCCTGACAATTCTCTTATATCCGGGTTACACTGTAGTGAATTTTATATTGTGCTTTTTAGAGACTTAGCATGGGTAACAGAAATTCATGGATTTGGAAGAGAGTAAAAAAGAACACAGAATGATGTCAAAATCCACAAATAATTTTCATCCTTTAATAGTAAGTTGTGCTTAGTCTAATTTGTAACATATATAAATATAGCTAGAAAAAGCAAATGCCACAAAGCACTGACTTGGGACCAGAAGCAGAGGGGTAGTATACACCAGCTTGAGGTATGGTAATTTACACGACTTGGATTAAATGTCCAGAGTTAAGAGATGAGAAATATTAGAAACTGAATATGTTTACTAATCACGAATAATGATGGTCAATGGGCACAATGACCAAAATCTGATAATAACAACAAGATGAAGACAAGAGTTTCAATGTAAATAATAAGTACAAAAATCCTACAAATAGGCTCTTTAAAATATCAAAGAGCATTCTTCTTAAATACAGTGATAGTGTAGGTTGGGCTGAGTACTTTTCAACCCCCTCACATGTAATAAAAATGGAAATAATTCTCTGGCAGATATTTAACTGAACAAACTTCTTGTATTATTTGGAGACAAGGATTTTCTAAATTATTGCTTATCTGCTTTGGCACTGGGCAGAGCTGACTGAGTGACAACTAAGATTGGTTTATTGTTATATATATATATATATATATCTTCATTTCAGTCTCATAAACTGTAAGTCAAAAAAAGCATTTTTAGAAAACATATGTTAAAAACTTCCAGTAGTAAAATCTTAATGTTTTATGATTATTAAAATAAATTTCTACACTTGAGATATGCATTGGCTTTCTGTTGAGTTTTAAATTTGAGCACCTATTTTTTTGTTTTGTTTCCCAAACACATATTGTTATATATCTGGGCTTTCATTCCTTTGGTTGGCACTTGTTATACATGTGGAAAATGTTGTACTAAACTATTTTTAGTATGGACTAGATAGTACAGATTTGTATTTAATTAACTAAAGAATTCTGGTTAGTTGATCACAATATAGCTGAAAAAATATATGTATGTCCCAAAAATCATAAAGCCAAGAGTTGCATGTCACAAGAGAATTAACCAACACACTGCACAAGAGCTGGAAAACTTTTTTTCCTTTGAATTGTGATTACTGGCCTCTAAAAAGCAGCATCTTTTCTACATCTGAGATGCCCACAATTGGACAAATAAAAATTTGCATAAGCAGCCAATCTCAAGTTCAGTTCAGCTCTTGAAATTGCTCAATTGCTAATTCTTTATACAGTCTGGCCATCAGCCAAACAGAAGTGGCAGGAGGTGATATCACAGTAACAGTGAGAGTAGTCTTTATTATTCTATCCATCAACATTAATGTTATTAATTATACAAGATCAACAAAATTTAATATTTATTATTTTAATATTTTATTATATTTTGATTATGATTGTTACCTGAATTAACATTTTTCATGGCTAGTTTGTTAATAGCCATTTGGAGAAAAAAGGCTGAAAACATGGTTAAGAGAGTTTTTAAAGATGGAAAGTTATTGCAACATTCACAGGTGCTAATCTGCCTACAAGGAAGAATCTTTTCACTCTTGATCCCCCTACCTTCCGACAAGTAAATTTGTGATTAAGAACATCTACTCTTATTTGTGCTGCTAGGAAAAATATATCTATTTGGGAAAGATATTAGAATAACCCAGAGCTTATACTAAGATTAAAATATCTGCATATGGATAGAAAATGAATTCATACAAAAATAGAAAGGGGCATGAGACAAGTATGTGTCATCTCACTGAACTTATTCAACCTTTAAAATGAGGCAATCTTGAAAAAATTAGATGTCCTACCAGGTTTTATTATTGGTGGACATAATCTCAACAGCGTAAGATATGCAGATGATACAGTGTTGATAGCTGACACAGAAAGGAAACTATGAGATCGACAAAAGAAGGTAATAAAGGAAAATGAGAAGAACGGACTAAACATAAATTGAAAGATGGAATGTATAGTTGTCAGCAAGAGGAAAAGCTATGAATTGGTGATACCAAAATCAAGCAAACACAAAAATTATCTAGGTAGTGTTTTAACAAGATGGAAAATGTGACAAAAAAATCTGAAGATGCTTTGGAATATTGAAAGATGCCTTCTAAAAGTTAAGCAAAGTATTAAGAAATAGGAAAGTTTTGTTAAAAACAAAGAAAAAATTTTCCTATAAGTTTTCCTATATGGCATTGAATGTGAATAATCTCTTCACAAATGAAAAAAATATTTGAGGTGACAGGAATGTGGTTCTACAGAAGGATTCCAAGAATATCATGGACTGGGTATATGAGTAATGAGGAAGTTTTAAGGAAATCGAAACCAAAAGAACACTTACATTTAAAATCAGAAAATGACTGTTGAAGTTTCTAGAACATGAATTGAGGAAAGAGGGCTCAGAGATTTTGGCACTCACAGGACATTGAAGTCAAGAGGGACTGAAAAAAAGCAGTGACTAAACTAAGTTGTGATGAGCCATAATTGTCCACATCATGAAGGGACATGGCACATAGAAGAAGACTTGGAAAAGACACTAGATCGTAAATGTTCAGTCTCAACTATGGAAATATAAAATTCTATGCAAGGAGTAAGAATAAGTTTTACATATTTATAGAACCAGGCTGTGCACTGTCTCAGACTTACCATTCCTGGATCTGGCTATTGCATCACTTGGGATGACGTCTTCTGGAATGTCAGCAATGGTTTGTCTGAGTTTCTTACTGCAGTCATTGATTTGATTATTATTGATGTGAAAATATAAGGTTTCTACACACTGACTGTTATTCTGGCAAGACATACTTTGAAATTGCATTCGTCGTCTTCAGACAGTTCTATTGATTGAGTCATTAAAGTTTGCTGCTTTGCAAAATGATAATATTTTGCAGTATTTCTGTAGAATGATGCTTAATAGGGCAATTGTTGGAGACAAAGATTTTTCATTGCTACCAATTGTGTTAGTCAAATAACAAAATACTTTTTCTAATTTTATTTTCTGTTTTTAATATAATGAATAGTAAATACCAATAATTTGACTTTGGGTTCTGAGTTTAGGCCACACTTATTTAATTATTTGGAATATTTTCTTTTTTACATGTCTATATATATATATATATATATATATATATATATATAAATAGAAAAAAAATGAGATGCCTCAAAATAAATTTGTTTTTATACTTACACATTTTTTAATACTATTGTTCAAGGCCCAAGAGCCACTCAAAGTAGATGGCTTCTGAATGAGGTTGCTGTAATGGAATAAAATGAGGATGGAAGAAGTGTATGTTATGAGGGTATGTGAGATAGATAATGGTTAGCTAGACTTGAAGAGGTTCAG